TATAACACGAACATAACTTTAACTTATTGGAAAACATACTTATATATATGCTATGTAATATGTTAAATAACAATCGATATTTACTACCGTTAAATAAATCTTAATCTTAAATATACTTCTTAGTGATAATAATTTATTAAATATCCAAGGATACAAATTCCAAATGTCTATTATATTAGTAAAAATAATACAAATTCTAATTCCATGATACTAAACTTAATATTTTCTTAGACCAAATTTCATAAGGTATCAATATAGCAGTCAGTTATCGCGCTACCTTGCGATAAAATGCTACTATTCTATATTCTTTCTTAAAATTCAACTGTTTCTTGGATCATAACTACTGTGTAACTATATTATTGAATAAAGTTTTTAATATACAGCATAATTCATTCGAATTAATATCAAGTTCATATTGTTATAACTATCGAACTGGTGGTGGCAATACTGTTACTATACGTTGGTTAATGAAACCTAACTTTATTATGCTTAAATCGTGTGAATGCTTCCCTTCATTTCTATATCAATTTTTTGAAAAAAAAAATTGCTCATGATGAAATTCAAAAATGTATGATTTGTAGTGCTTTATTTTGGCGAAAAATCAAAATTGACTATTAAAGTTTTTGAACTCCTAAGCGTATTGTGATTAGACTTTTAGGGCTGCGAAACTCTATGGTGGCAACAGGAAACAAATTGCTGTTGCAGCAGAAGTGCTTCGAAAATTTAATGCTGGAAATCCTCGCAACCGTTGAAGAAAAATGCCTGCTATCACTTTTAGACAGAAGAGCTGTTTAAGTGCCTTTGCCTTCATGTAAACAAATCAAATCTGCTGAATTTGCGAATTGTCAGTATGCGTTTTTATATAAGGCAATTTTCTGTGGAAAGTATTACATGTAATAGACCTCTTTTCTTTTTTTCATGAAAGGTTAATGACTCAATAACTTTTACTTTGACTCATATCGGACAATTTATCATGAATCGTGGAATTCAAATTTACTTTAAAAAAAATAAAGTTATTCGCAAAGTTTTTAGAGCACTCCGTCCATTTTGCGGTCTACATAATCGACTTAGTGAGCTACATTAATAAAGAAAATTGCCATATATGGAGCGAATATATTCCTCAAGCCGTTAACAAACCACCATCCACTAAATTGACTGTTAGGTGTGATTTACACGCCGGCGGCATCATTGGTCCTTATTTTTTTCGAAATGAAGAAGGAGTTGCTGTTACGGCGAATGGCGATCGTTAACGAGCCATGTTGATTAATTTTTTGTTTCCATAAATTAATCGGTTAAACATCGAGGACATTTGGTTCCAATAAGACGACGCAACTTGCATACAGCCTTACAGCGCGCTTAACAATCGATTTATTGCGAAATCAATTTGGTAATAACTTTATTTTCCGAAGTGTTACAACCACTGGTGACGCGTGATTTAATGCCTCTGGATTACTTTTCATTGGATTATGCCGACAAATCAGCAACTCTTGAAGCATTGGAAGTCAATGTTCATGCCACAATTGACAACATACTGCCACATTCATTGCAAAAAAAAAAGGTCTGATCTGAAAAAATTGGACTGATCGAATAGACCATGTAACTCGTAGCCGCGGCGGACATATGCCGGAAATCACATTTAAAAAATAAATATCATAAAATTATCTACGAGTTTATAATTAAAAAGAATTTCATTTCAACAAATTTCTGTATTGTATTATCATTTTAAGTTCTCATGCAGCTAAAAAAACATCTGATATTATATTATATATATGGTAATAAATATTCTATTATAATCTAACATATTATAGTATATATATGTTATTATATTGCACATATTATCATATAAATAAGACCTGAGTATAGTTTCCAAGTTGTGTATATATGGTATCAAAGCTAAAGGTAACAGCTTTAACGTGATTTTACGATTTTACCTAACTGACTTTACCATTACTAATGATATAATTTTATAGGTAGGATAGTATATTGGCGATTGAAAAATTATGCATGGAGATTAAATGATTGAATATTTCTTTCATTGATTCTTAGTGCAGTTGCGAAATAGTTGAACAAATATTTTTGAGCATGCTGTAGGACCCGCTCTCCTTTTAAAGCATTTTAGGGTTCATTAAAGAAAGGTTCAAATTTTATACGATATAACAGTGTGCTAACAGATTTAATTTAATTCTTAGAATCACTGTAATAACCTAAACCAACCTAGCAATACTTACAGTAATTTGCTTCATATTTGTGCTAGTTCTCATTGTCTTCTACAGCGGTACCCAGCGCTTTAAAGGTTTCCGCTTTTTACATTTAATATCTAAATAATTGAAACTTGGCGTTAAAATCATATGATGTAGCTTACTACAGCAGTATTCATTTACAAATGTTTTGAAAGTATCGAACAATAATTTTACAAATAAAAATCTATTGAATTGATAACAGTTATTTAAAGTTACAAAGACGAAAAACGATATGACTATCTCACGTCAATATTACTTACATTAAGTTGTAGCTTTCACATATAAATTATTCTGTCTTCAACACTTAATTAAATTATAATTTTTTGAAATAAACAGTTTCGTAATAATTTTAAAATTACATATGTACATGTGTATAAATGTATGTATACATATATATGTATCTATGTCTATATCAGTATATTAGAATAACTCATAAAATGTCTACCATTCCTTTTGTTTTTACAATCTTTAGAATAATAAATAGGAAACAAGAAAAGGAGCAAATACTAACACAACAACAACACCATAAAAATAAAACAGATAATATACAATCACAAAAACAAAAAAAAAAGACAGCTTGAAAACCAGAGGTTATGGCAAAAATCAGCCACAAATAGTGAATGGAAAGTGTGTTGCGGTTCCAATCTTGGTAATACTGAACGTAATATTGTTGTTGATGACGATGTGGTTTCGTGAATTTACTATAAAAGTAGCATGCTGGAGTTCAACGAGCACATCTTGTAGAAGTGAATACATACATATACGAAATATTGTATAGAAGCTTGTGATGAAAGAAAGAAGAGACATTGTAGATACAAAGTATCGAAGCATCTTTAGCAAGAAAAAAAAAATATGTATAAATAAAATTAAACCTCAACAGTAGAAAAAGAAAAAACAAAAGTTTAAATGCAATTCAAAACAATAACAAGCATTAGGGGATCTCGCAAACCGAGTCTCCGCTACTCTATTGAGAGTAAATGTTTGTGAGACCCACAAACCCAGCAGTGGAGACTTTTAAGAAAGTCGCTCTTTGAAAATATCAAAGCGTATGCAACAAAAAAGTGATTGTATATTTTCTGTACTCTTGCGAGTGAGCCGAGATTTGTTTTTGCCAGTATTTCACTTTTTAGGTAAAAACGTGTTTTGGATTCAATACCAGGCCCATGAAATTTTACGCACGACTTGTACTGTACGTACACTGCTAATAATAAAAACAATGATTTCAATTGCAGAAAAGCCAAAACACTGCAAACAAAAACTAGATACACATATGCACGTAATTTTTAATAGATAAAGATGAGAATTAATTACTCGTATTACACATTTTTGCATAAATGCATTCACATTATACATAATACTAATTAATATTAAATTTTATAATGGAATCTTTAGAGTAAAGATAAATAATAATGTAATTGAATTCTATTAAAATAATTATCGTTTTTAATGTGAATATAACAAGTTGCTCTTATGATATTAAATTCGGATTAAAGGGTATATAAATTTGGATTATTTTAACACAGTGTTTTTCAAGCTTTTTTGAGCTATTCTCACTTCAAGTCTTTTAAATATTTCCCACTCCTATGTAACATATGCAAGGAGCTATCGAAAATGGAATAAGCAGATTAGTCGAATAAAAATCCTCTTTCTTTTTTTTTCTACGTGGAATTTATTTCTTACATATCTTTCTCTTACTTAGAAACTTATAAATATATAATAATAGTAGATTATAATAATTTACTATTACGTATACGTTTTAAAATTATTTAGGGTAACCTACCTACTAGCGATCCATGGGGATTCACTTAAGCCTATTGGCCCATTGTGCTATCGTATAATAAAAAAATTTCGGGGTATAAAACCATCTGGAACCTTTGGCGAAGTTTAAGATACTGTGTAGGTGTAACATATCTTAGGAGTTAGGAGATGTTGAAGTTGATCTAACATAAGGTACTTCAAAATTGGTCACATGTAAATATTTTCAAGTTAACTATAAGAAGTAATTTTTATTTTACGAGTCTCTACTTACTTATAATTGGACTAGAAAGAATATACGTGCAATGGCTAAACTAGTTTTCAAACAAAAATATCTAAGTATAACTACACAAACTTGGGCAGGTGAGAAAATCGTTCGAGAAAACGAATTCAGAAAGTTACATAAACGAGCTACTGCTTAGCATTACGGTTCGGTGTTGACATGGCACTGCTTACTAGAAAGATATACTATGAGACTGGGTCTATCCTACAATGACTTCTGTCAAGGCTGCGGCTGACAAATATACTCCATCACATGTGTCAGCGTTCATCTAGGGGAAAATTCGAAATCTTTCCCTAGGGGAAAATTCGAGACTGTTTTTTACCGATCTAACACAGCTTTTATT